ATTTACCACAAGGTCAAAGTGATATTTGTTTTTCCTCAAGTATATACTATTGATACTTTATGATTCAAACACTAAACAATGCCTACTTAAGGGCCAGCAGGTGGCGTGGTGGTTAAGGGCACTGGACTCCCACATGGCCTACCATGGCTTGAGTCCGAGATCTGGCAGCTTGCTTTCTCACTCTCTCTCTCTCTCTGATCAATTAAATACATAAATAAATAAAGTTAAATAAAATAATTTTAAAAAATGCCTACTTAGAAATGCCCTTGGTCAATGCATAGCTAAATATATATGTCTCAAAAAAAAACAATATGAAGTAAAGTAGAGGGTTTCTTTGATCCTAGGTTGCTATCATGTACTCGTGTTCCTGAGTTCTTGGGTAAAAATCATTGTTTCTGTTTTTGTCTTTTTTATTTTTTTTTGCTGTAGGGCGTGTGCACTTGCCAGACAGAGAGAGATATAGAGACAGAAAGTGAGAAATCACCCCCCAGGGGGGATGGTCACGCCACAATCCCTTCTCCTCCATTCTCCTCTTGGGATCTTGGACACACATGCACACATGCCCGGCGTGAGTTTTAAGCTACCGGGTCCGAGACTCGAACCGGGGTCGGCTACATGGGAGTTCAGCGACATAGCCATTATGCTAACTGCTGGTCCCTTGCTTTTGTCTTTTTTTAAAAAAAATATTTATTTTCAATTTGGTCAGAGAGGGACAGAGTGAGAGAGGGAAAGTGAGAAAGCAAGCTGTCAAATCCAGGACTCAAACCGTGGTTGGCCGTGTGGGAGTCCAGTGCCCTAACCACTGTGCCACCTGCCATCCCCTTGTTTTGTTTTTTTAAAAAGGAGAGTTCTTGAAAAACTAAATTGTTAGAATAAGTGTAATGACTTGTGAGTGGCAGCCTATTTTGTTTCCTACCACTGGACTTGGGCAGCTTTCATATTGGTGCTGTGAACGAGGGAGTGAAATGTAAAAGCAGTGTCGTTTTGTTCCAATGGAATGTCCCAGAAAAGCGTAAGAACACAGATGTGATAACATTGACTTGGTTTTGCTTTTCGTTGGTTCCTTATGACTACTAAGTTTTTACATGTACTTTCATTATTGTTTTTGATTTCCTATGGAACTTTATTTCTCACTAGTATTTGTTGTTTTTGTTTTGTTTTGTTTGTTTTTTCTAAGAGGATGCATGTGCTTGCCAGGGAGAGAGAGAGAAGGAGAGGATAAAGCAGCCCTCGAGGGGAATAGTCATGTCAATAAATATAATCCCTTCTCTTCCATCTCTTCCTCCTTCCAGGATTTTGGGCCTCACGCACACATTCCTGGTGTGTTTCTCCTGCTGCCATGCGTAGGACTTGAGCTACACAGTCAGCCATGTAGGATCCAGCTACCTTCACCACCATGGGCTGGCCCTGATATTTTTTATTGCCCTTAAAGCATGGCTTTTTAAAGTTTTCATGCAGGAGGCTAAAAGGTAGCACGGCTGTAAGTGCACGCTGCAGGGCAGTCTCACACAGGAGGTTCCTGGTTAAGTCCAGAGGCTGTCCCTGAGTGTGCCAGGCACGCACCTGCCCGTGCAGGGCTAGCTGAAGGCTGAGGCAGGGTGTGGAACAAAGAGCTTATGGGAGGTACGGTCCCTGTCTCTGTCACTAATGGAAGGAATAAACTTAAAATATGTTTTTCTGACTCCAAAGTATTGCTTTAAAAAAAAAAAGTGATAACATAGAAATGCAGTAATTTTATATCCATTTTACCTTAATTTATAGTTGACCCCAATTTTAGGTCTCAAATGAGTGTTTTGTGTGCCATGTTTTTGTTTTAAGCCTAGAAAAACACTTGTGTATTTTAGATTGCAATTTTGTTTTCTTTTTGGAGAGGTTTTTGCTATAGGGCAGGTGCACTCGCCAGACAGAGAGAGACAGAGAGACATAAAGCAAGAAATCACCCCCCAGGGGGATGGTCACGCTGCAATCCCTTCTCCTCCATTCTCCTCTCGGGATCTTGGGCACGCACACACACGTGCCTGGCGTGAGTTTTAAGCCACCGGATCCAGGACACGAACCGCGGTCAACTACGTGGGAGTCCAGCGACATAGCCATTACGCTAACTGCTGGTTCCCCAGTTTTGTTTTCTTCACCTATTCCTGCCCATATGGAATGTCAGGAGTTGCTGGTCCCCAAAAAGGCAGATGGTGGGACTTCCCGAAGGAGCTGGGCAGAGAAGGGGACATCTGTGGAGGAAGAAGGTGCTTGGAGCAAGGGAACCACGTGGCTCAGAAAGTAGTGAGGAAATAGTTCCGGTTCTTGTAGAATGAGCTCCCAAGTATTTAAGACTCAGACGTGGGTGGTAGCGTGGACTGGTGTAATTTTGGTGGAGAAATGGTAGGTAGGAGATTTGCATTCTGGGATTCTGTGAGGGTGATGGGAGAGTGGAAAGAACTGAAGTTTAGAATATGGAAACCTAGTTGGAGTTCTGTCCCACCCAACACTGACTGTGACTTTGGGGGAGCTGGTTCACCTTCTTGAGTTGGTCTCCTCAGCTGTGCAATGATAAGACTTAGTCACAGCTTATCAGGAGAAACTAGGAAATGTATGAAAATTTGTAAACTGATGTGCTATAAATGTTCCTGGCATAGAACAAAGATAGTGTCTGTTAGATTATCCCAAAGAATGAACACAGATATTTACTTGCTATTTCTGATCCCCTGACCAAATGGATGGATCTGGACATTCAAAACATTATGGTTAGCTCAGTCACTAGGCTGCCTCATCTGGTGCTCCCAGAAACGAAAATGGCATCTAAATCCGTTAATCTATTAATGATGTGCGATTCTTAGTTATTATTTACTAAATGTGAGGCTTATTTATAGAATTCAGACAATGAAATCTAGAGGGAATCTTATTTCATTCCCTCCCTTCATGCAGGCCTGTATCAAATGTGAATTAGCCCTGACAGATGGTTGTTGGATTCTGTTTCTAAATTTTTTAAAGAAGATTTCACAGTTTTCCTCTCTAAATTCTTTTAGTAATTTAACAATTCTTATGCCGAGCTCTTCTTTCTAGCTGACCTAAATCTGTAGTTGTAATTTTAATTCCTTTTCCCCCACTCCTGCCTTTTTTGGAGATGGAGAACAGCTGGTCGGCAACCTTATGAGAATAACTCTTAGTATATTTAAAGAAGAGTTAACTGAGTGACTCCCCTCGCCGCCCCCTCCCACCCCCTGGAATTCGCCAGCCAGGGTTCTCTGAATCATTCATGCCAACGCTGCCCATCTCCCTGTCCCAGCTGAGCAGAGCGTGTGGTTAGTGGCCGCATGGACCTGGAGAGAATCCAGGCTGCTGCTCCCTTTCCTCCTCTGCTCTGTGGGTGATCTTTAGCTTTCCTGTGTGTGCAGACTAACCCCTAAGAGCGTCTGAAGAGCACATGGAACAATTATTTTATAAACATGGAGTCTTGTGAGGGTACTTGTCGTAGGGTGTTTGAAATAAGGCCTCCCAGAAGACTTAATGTGCTTAGCCAGACCTGCCACTAAGCTGCTGCTTTGCCTGCTAAAGATAACATTGCTTGATATCTCTGCTCTGTTGGAGTTAATCTTGGAAGACATTGAGCTAAAACTCCTGAGTGTGTGTTCAGAAGCACACTAGCGTTTTGAAAGAGTGAATGACGTCCCCAGTGTCCTGAGATGGAACTGGGAAATAAGTGACCAGCGAGGAGAAATGGACTCATTAAGCTGATCTCTGGTGATTTCAGGGTGGATCTTGTTTTTGATCTGAATGTGTGTGCTTTTGTTTCTGTAGGTTTACTACCCAGAACTCTGTGTCGGGGTCAGTCAAGAACCATTTCCAAACAAGGAAATGGAGGGAAGACTTCCTAAGGTAAGATTCCCCCATTGCCATTTTGTTATCATATGTTATACAATTCTATAATCATGAATCTGTTACTGTAATAACCTTGAAAATAACATTTATTTTGAAAATCTTTTCGCTCTATGACTTTTAAGGTTCACATTATCTTCTTTTCTTAACAAATAAGTCAAAAGCAAATTTTCATGGTCTCTTAAAAATATAAGACATTTTCAGGCCAACAGTTAGCTTAATAGCTACATCACTGGACTCCCACGTAGTCGACCGTGGTTTGAGTCCCAGACCTGGTGGCTTAAAACTCACACCGGGCGCATGTGTGTGCGTGCCCAAGATCCCAAGAGGAGAATGGAGAAGAAGGGATTGAGGCATGGCCATCCCCCCTGGGGGCTGATTTTTCGCTTTCTGTCTCTGTCTCTGTCTGTCTGGCGAGCACACTTCGCCCTATAACAAAAACCTCTCCCCCCCCAAAAAAAGTATAAGTTTTTTTTTGATTGCTAATAATGCTTGAATATCTGATAAACATCACCCAGGAAACAAAATGGGAAGAATATTTAAAAAACTGTTAGGTTTCATTCTCCTAGTTCTTAAGCCTCAGAAACATTTTACATCAACACGGTTTGATTTTTCTGACGCCTAAGAAATTTAATTCTCTGCTTTAAAAGAATTTGTGAAAATCATAATTTGTATTTTAGCACTGTTTCTGGAAAAAACAAAACCATTTCTCAGTATTTGCTATAGATACTTTTGAACTTTGCTTGTTAAGGGCCAATGTGCAGGAGCACGTATATTTACTATTACACGTTACTACTGACCTGCTGGTTTTGTGATTAATACAAAATAGAGTCCAGGGACCAGCAGCTGGTGTAATGGTTATGTCACTGGATTCCCATGTAGTTGACCGTGGTTCGAGTCCCGGACCCGGTGGCTTAAATTCATGCCAGTGCATGTGTGTGCATGCCCAAGATCCTGAGAGGAGAATGGAGGAGAAGGGATTGTGGTGTGGCCATCCCCCCGAGGGGTGATTTCTCACTTTCTGTCTCTCTGTCTATCTCTGTCTTTCTGATGAGCACACACACCCTATAGCAAAAATCTCTCCAAAAGAAAAAAAATAGAATCCATTGAAAATAATTTTTTTTATTCAAAAGTCTCATAAGTGTAGTTGACCAGTGGTAAGGACTCCCCCAGTATTTCAATGCTTCAGAAACTTTTTACTTACACTAAATGGTTTTAACAATTTCTAAACTGATGAAGTTGAAGACAGTGTGTCACCTGCCAACTTACACTAAAAGAAAACAATCCTAAATCTTTCAGAGAATTTCTAAAGGTCAAGGTTGAAGTCATTGGCAGAAAAGTAGGTGAACCAGAAATGACTTGGCACCACTTGAGCCAGATTTGAACTGAATTTGTAGAGTTTGAGTGGAGGGAGATTCAAGTGTTAAAGATTTGTTCTACATAGGCATGTCACCACCTTCCCACCACCCCACCACCACCTCCCCACCTACACCCCACCACCCCTCCACTTTCCACCACCTCCCCACCACTCACCACCCCACCACCACCTCCCCACCCACACCCCAC